CTTAATTTCGTGTGATTGAATATTCGCATAGAATAATCCGGCTAACCTTCCTCGTGATACGACCCGGTGTCGAATCTTTGGATTCTACTCCGGTTAAAAATAATTACAACATAAGCTACGACGTCGTTCACCTCTGTATTGTTTGCATTTGGGATCACGCGGGCTTAATATATAAGCCCCGTCTTTGAACTTCTATTTGAGAAAAATGAGAACATAAAAATTACTCTGAGATATTTTTTTTCCTTTTTCCTTGATTCACATTTTCTTCAAAATTCACAAGAAATAAGTAAAGCCCAGAAAAAATAAAATCTTTGAGAAGAACACACTAAAATATTTGAACAAGCAAAATCAAGCACCTTCAAATAATAACAAAAATCAAAGTATCTTCAAATAATAACAAAAATTTGTAAACATTGTAAACTCAATTATCAAGTAAAAGAATATAAAAAAAAAAAAATAATGTAGATATGGTGTTAGTTAACTCAATTATCAAATAAAAGAAAATAAAAAAAATAATCATCAAATAAAATATTATTAACTCAATTATCAATAGATGAAACATTGTTAATTTCGCATTGATTCACTGTCAAATAGAAGATCCATTGTTAAGTCAATTATTAAAATCAAGTGATCTTTAAAATAAAAAAATAAAATAAGAAAAGAAATATTTGTATTTTTAAATTCAAAACATGAAAGAGAGGTTGATGGAAGACAATGATGGTAGAAAAAATATATATGACACTTTCCAAACCAATTTTGTTTCCAAAATTTTTTATCCGAACATAAATACAAAGCATCATATTATGATATGTAAGATTTTAAAACGTGCGAGTCTGCCACTTAGGCTCTAACACGTTTTGATTTATTATGTAAGAGAGATTATACAAATTAAAATAACAAAAGGATATTGATTTGTATAAAAAATTTTATCTGAACCTTTTGAATACTATAAGGTGTCTTTTAGCCTCTAGATGTCTTTTGGCACATATGTGTTTCCCTACATCTATAAATATACACATATTTAAAATCATTCAAAATAGGAAAATTAGAGAGTTCTTGCATTATTTTTCAAAGATCATATAACAAATTGTGTTATTTGATTTTTTCATTGAGTCTTGAGAGTTCCAAACAATAATAGTGTTCGTCGAAGGCTTGTATATTTGAAGTACCGGTATATATAAGTCGAAAGTCGTTGTATCTTGAAGGCGTTGGGCAATTTTGTCTTAAGAATAACGTAATTATTTCGTGTCTCGACTTTGATTTTTGTTTCGTTTTCTTCATTCTTCTTAAACCGTCTTTTTTTATATTCACAAACCACAAACCACACAAACTACAGTTATTGTATTGTGCTATTGTTTTTAATTAAAATAACATTAAACACAATTAATCATATCACTACACCAACATAAAATAGCGGTTCTAACTATAATTTAGTTCTTATTTCAAACAATATTATCAAAAAATTTGATTTGAATACAAACTTTACGGTCAATGTTTTTCACGCGTCTCAAAAACTTTGATCAAGTGTTTATTTTTATTTTTTTATCATCCTTAGTTGACCTTTGAAGTAACACAATTATTCTCAAAATTCAAACAATTATCCAAATAAAATTCTCAAATCACGTACACTAGTACAACACCCGTGTATTACACGGGTGTTTGTTAAAAAATTATTCTTAAATTTTAAAATTAATTAGAACACAAATTATATTTTTACCAAAAAAATATATTACTATATATTTTAGAATGATATGTGTTACTTATGACTTACATGTATTATATTGTATTAGTTGTTATAACTTATATCATATAACTACTTGAAATATAAATATATTAGTTGATAAATAATTTTATTTTTCTAATTAATATTAAAAATAATTTTATTATTGTTATAAAAATAAATATAAATTATTCTTTTATACATACAATATGGATGTTAAATCGAAGCTCATCAAATGAAGATTAATTTGATATATCACATATGTAAAACTGATAAAAAATACAAAAGTTATTAACTTTTAAAATATATATATATACAATTCAATAGTTATAATAAGGAATGATATTGAAATACAATTAATACATGTAACATGACCATAAATAATCAACATATTTATGGTAATCCGAACCTAATTATTTTTGGTTTGGAATTAAATTAAAATTTATCCAAGCCTAATAACCAAGCATGTAATTTTGCCACATAGGATTCCGAAGCACCAGAATCAGCCACGTAGGCTCAGCGCGTTCTGTATCTATATACATATAAAAAGGTTTGATATTTACTTGAAATAGAATAAGAAATCCCGCCTAAAATTTTAAAATTTACTAATCTTGGTAAACTTTTTCAGAATTTTTGAAAAATCCCGCCACTGATCATTAATTTTGAAATTTAAAATTATTTTGAATTCATTTTGTGGTAACTTTTATTAATTATGGGAACAAATCTGTTTATTCAATATAAAAAATATATTTCTTAATTAGATTATTCAGTCCCAACATTCCAAATATTAGAATGATTTACAATAATAATATAATATCGTTTTTGCTTAGAGGATGAGATCTTCAAAAAATATTATTTCATTATGGAATTTAGTTCTCCTTTAAATATAAAATATTATATTTGACTATATTATTTTAACCAACTCTATTTTTTTCGAAACGATAGAAATGTTATAAATAAAAAAAGCACAACTGTGCGAATACACAGCAGTCAACGGCTGAATACACAGCAGCCAACAGCTGAATAAAAAGGGAGGACACGTCAGAAGACCGCCTAGATCCGACCCCAACAGGGTAATAAAAAACACAAAAAAAAAACTACACAACACAGAGATCCCAACAGGGTAATAACACAGAGACCCCAACAGGGTAATACCTGAGACCCCAACAGGGTATTTTAACCAACTCTCATTTGCAATTATCCAAAAAATCATTTATGATTTTACGAAAAATCATTACCAATAATCAAATGCTTATAATTGTTCCTTAATTATTGATAACCGATCATATATGCTTGAGTATGATTTAATATTACAAGTATAATTAAAAAGTTTGTAGTAATTATATAGTAATTGGTATAGATTAATCACAATAAAATAATCATTAGTTATCTTTTATGTATATTCTCTTTATTATTTTATACGAGAATATCCTTATGTCTAGACAAACAAATATATCATTCATAATTTTTTTTTTTTTTTTTTATATATATCTATCTATAACTAATTATCTATTAACATATACAGAGTTAATAATTTAGTTTAAGTAGTAAATAAAAATAACAAGAAAAAACCAACTTACTTTATAAATAAAGTTTGATACGTATTAAGTTGAACAATGTATAAATAAAGTATGATTGCACAATCGACATCTCAATATTTTAATTTGAAAAATATTTGTAGAAGACAATTTCTAATAGGTAATCTAAATTTTTTTCCTTTCCAACAACGGATAAAATCGATGGCGATATAATGAACAAATTATTTAAGAACTTACACGTATTACCTTTATTAATTGCATTATTTAAATTTGGTATATAATATATTGACAAAAAGAAGATTTTTATTTAAAATTAAAAATCAAATAAACAATTTTTCATAACTTACGGGTCAATACTAATTTGGTCATAAAATGTAATAATCAATAGTTTAATAAGTTACTTAACTATTTAATTTTTTTTTTGATTTAGATAGTTTATAGAAAAATAAATCTATTTTAATTAATGAAACAATATATGTTTTATATTTATACTTATTATTCAAATAAGTTTTTAAATTTATGATAAAATTTTACCGAAATAACTATTTTATAGAATCACATTATAGTCAAATCGAATTTCTGAATAAAAATCGTGAAATAACACTTACTTTGAATTGGATATAATGTAATTTATCATCGTGCACCACAGGGGTAGTTATTTTAATTAGACATTTTCATGTAAATTTATATTTATACTTATTATTCACATAAGTTTTTAAGTTTATGACAAAATTTCACCTAAATAGCTATTTTATAGAACCACATTATAGTCAAATCGAATTTATGAATAAAAATCTTGAAATAACACTTACTTTGAAACGAATATAATGTAATTAATCATCGTGCACCACACTGGTGCTTATTTTAAATAGACATTTTCATGTAATTTTATACAATGAAATTTTATATAATATTTTCAATAAATTAATATATATAAATTGTATGACATGTTTATATCATATATTTTGTTTATAAATATGATTTAATAAGATTAATTAATAAATATTAATGAGTATGTTTTACCCGTGCATCGCACGGGATTCGTACTAGTTAATATATAGGGGGAATAGGGGGAATTACACAAAAGGGCTTTCTTGTAATTTACGCTCACAATACAACACCACTCCTCAAATATATAAAAATCTCCATTTTTTTTTCAAGAAAATCTCCACAAAATCCAAACTTGGCAAAAAATTCCACACACCCCCAAAAACCTTCATAAATCAACAAACCCTCGATCGAGAGAGAAGTATAATTAGAAATGGACGGGAGATCGTGGGCCGATCAATGGGACACCGCACAGGAAAACCCACCACCGGAGGAAAAGAGGGGCGGCGGCGGCGGCGGAGGCGCGGCGGCGAAGTACGGGAAGAAGGTCGGAGAAGGGCTGGGGAAGACGAAGGCGGCGGCGGCTACCGGCGTGAAGAAGGTGAAGGAGGGCACCTCCGTCGGGTTTCAGTGGATCAAGGATAAGTGCCAGAGGACAAAGGGCTGATCTTGAATTGATCTGTTGGTTGATTATGTTTTTTTTTTTTTTATTATTATTATATATTTCGAATAAATGAAAAAAATTATATATGTGTTATACTTAATAAGGATTGATGGATTATATACAATTTTAAGATAATTTGATGTGTACTTTATTATTTTTATTTTTTTTGATGGGATTTTATGGTATGGAATTATGGATGATTGGTGATTTTTGGTTTTGATTGGTTTGTATTGTTCTTGATTTGGACTGTTCATGTAACACTTTGAGCACAATTCTAAGGTTCAATCATGGCAAATTATGAAATATATTTTCACCATTGTGCTTTTATATTATTTAAATCATGAATGTGATAATAAGTTGAAATATAACTATTATTGCCTTTTATTTTGTGCCTTTTGTTTTGTGTTTCATGTCGTGTTTTTGTCTTGTTTGCACTGTGCTAAAAATCGGCCTAGACGCGTTAGGCGGTGTTGGGGGCCTCCGATTTGCACAAATCGGCAAAAAAAAATGGTCAGGCAGCTAGACGGCGCCTAGGTGGCCTACGCGCTTCTAGGCGGGCTCCGCAACAATTTTTTAGTTTTCTTTTTAATTTTTTTTTTTTCAATACTAATTTCATTATTTTGTTCTCATGTTTTATTTAAAATATATTAATTTTATTATGTGGACTTAAGTGTGTCGATTTATTATAGTTGAGATAGTTTTATTTTGTAGGTAGTTAAAATAAATAAGAAGTAAGGTATTTAGTATTGATTTCTAAGCCCCGACTAGACGCTATAGGCGCTAAGTGCTGGTAGAACGCTTAGCGGGCGCCTAACGACTTTTAAAACACTGGTTGTTTGTTGTTGTGCTTCGTATCTTATGACATGTCAAATATGGTCGCCACTGAAGATCGAGTCCTTTATTCCTTTGTACATTTTCTATCAATCTATGAGCAAAAATGTATCTTTTTCAAGCAAAAATTATTTATACTATCAAATGTTATGCCCATAAGGATATGATCATGGCCTACTAATTAGTTTTAGTTTCATAGTTATTTCAATTTTTGGATCTCATCATGCTTCTATGATTTCACATTAAAGATTTAATCATAAAAATAAACAAATAAATTATCAAAAAAGTACCTATCTCTTTGTGCCTCTAGTGTAGACAAGATGTGTATTTTCACTTATCACACCAAAATTATATGTGGCATATATATATTGACCCAAAATGAACACATAAAAAATATTGTAATGTTCGTTTTAAACACAAAGTTTCTAACTGGCTACAACCTATGCTAATTCATCTAAATGGGAACGACTACAGTTCCGTTGACGGAATGGTTCTGTCAGTATTTGTTACCGTAGATTACGTATGCAACATAATCTACATGTGTATCCAATAATAAAAAATACTGATTGAATCATCCATAACGGGACCTTAGCATTTATCCATCTAAATATAGGTTTTTGTAGAGTAATTAGGACTTCAACAAGTAGCCCATTTATAACCTAGCAAGGTCCAAACATAGATGAGATGGAAATTTGACCAAACTTTAAAGTAAGATAGGGGTAAAGAAAATTTAATTCTGAGCTAGCTTTTTATTTATATAGAACTCATGCTTAAGCTAGTTTATAATATATGGCATAATAATCAAAAACTTTGCAATTCTTTAAAATTGATTTATTAATTTTATTTTTTTAATTAGAAAAATATAACAATATCTTTAACATGGCTTTTTTGTCGAGTTTTTGTAATTTATCTGAATATTTTCACAAGCACTAATATTTTTAAATTAACTTAAACTCTTATCAAGTAAAACACATTTATTTAACTGCTCTAGTAATTCATTCGGCGGGATTTTTTCCCTCCCGAATTTCAGGTATGCGAATGATATGAGATTTATCGTACATTGTTCGTTGTGCTGCGAATAAAGGTTGACAGGTTGCGTCATTTCGACTCTCAAATAAATGACAATATTCGGCGCATTAAAAACAATTATTTATTTTACGTATGTGTTTTTAAACATATATGCGAAACATAATGCAATTTACTGTCAATACGTTATGCGAATGAAGTGCGATTCATCGCATTTTGTTCGCAGCTCTGCGAATTTAAAGAGTCGCGTCTTTTCCGAAACGTCCCCTCAGTCTTCCGCGCATAAAAAATAAAAAATCTCACCTATTTTTCTTTTTAAATTATGAAAAAAAAATTAATTAGATAAATTAATTCGGTGGTTGAATTGAAAAACCGTGTTACTACTAAACAGGACATTGATTAAAATTTCCATCAAATTCTGGGATTGGATTCAATCTCACTGCACCCACCTACTTTTTCATGTGAATCCCTTCACAAATCGCATAATCCCCTTTGTGGTTAGATCTTTCATATCTAATGTTCGCTGTTTATGTAAAAATCGCTCCGCTCCGCTCGCTTCGCTCGGTCGCTCCGCTACGCTCGCAGGCATCAGCCTGCTTCCTTCCTTTGTCTATGTATGAGCCATACCAACAAATAGTGAGAAGGTGTTTGAAAAGAAGTTCTTTGAGATCTGGGTTTTGCTAGTGTTGTCAATGGGGAGCTCAGAAGAGAGAGTTGTTGCTGTGATCATGGTGGGTGGGCCCACTAAAGGTATGATCTTTCGTTCTTTTTTTTTTTTTCGAATTTTAGTCAAACATATGTACAGTACTGCAGTTTGAGCTGTTTCTTGAAATTTTGGTTATTCGTTGTGTTTAATGTTCATGAGATGTTTATTTTGTTGGAGCAAATGTTGGGCCTTTTGTATGCATTTGGTAGTTGGGTTATGACCAGTGTTATAAGGTGCCTAGGTGAGGTATGTGGGAAGTGAGAATATCTTAGTTATGGTTCTTGGAACTGGGTGGTGTTTGTTTCCTTTTCTTTATTCTGAATAAATCGGATCTTTGAAATTGGATAATGCGGCCCCGGTTCTTTTTATGGTACTGTTTTGCTGCAAAAGTTTTGATCTTTAAGGTATCAATGAGACATTTGTATAGTTGTATTGGTTTAACTATGTATTGGGTATGCAGGGACTAGATTCAGGCCGTTGTCTTTGAATATTCCGAAGCCGCTTTTTCCCCTTGCTGGACAACCTATGGTTCATCATCCTATCTCGGCTTGCAAACGGGTATAGATGTTTCCTTCACGTTACAGTATCTGGATAGGGGGACTTGTGAAAAATTGAGTGCGTTATCAATCTACAATAAGGAATCATCGGTTAATTTATTTATTTATTTTATTTTTCCTGAGTGTGAGTGTGGGTTTTTGATGATGTGTTGTTTATTATGGCTTTGTTTATAGATCCCAAATCTAGCGCAGATCTATCTTATTGGTTTTTATGAGGAGCGCGAGTTTGCATTGTTTGTTTCGTCTATTTCAAATGAGCTTAGAGTGCCCGTCAGGTACTTACTTACTGCGCTTTATTGGATAATTTGGCCTTTATATAGGTCTATTTTTATAGTTTGAGCAATGCTTGTTTGATAATGGTTAGTGTTTCCCTGTCAAATTTTTCTTTAATTAGATATTTGAAAGAGGAAAAACCACATGGTTCAGCTGGTGGACTCTACAACTTCAGGGATTATATCATGGAAGAGAATCCGGTTCTTTCTCGATCTATCTTTTCCCATTAATTTCATAATATTTTTTCTTTTTTAAAAAATAAAAAATCTAGAAAATTAAAACTGATCATGTATTACCTGGCACCTGGCAGTCACATATTGTGCTACTGAACTGTGATGTTTGCAGCAGCTTTCCACTGCTTGAGATGCTCGGTAATTATTGTACTCATTGCCTTTTCTAAATATATATTGCACGCGAACTTTAGACCTTAACTGTTAACGGTCTATTTTGGATAAATATTCGTGGCCTTTTCACTTTTCAGTTATTGAACTTTTGGTTCTTGGGTTACTTTGCAGAGGCCCACAAAAACTATGGTGGGATAGGAACAATTTTGGTGATCAAGGTTGGTTAACTTTATATCCCATCACTTTATTTTATATCAATCTCATAACTCTAAATGAGCTCATTTTCCAGGTTTCTCCCGAGTCTGCTCATCAGTTTGGGGAACTTGTGGCTGATCCTGTTTCAAATGAGCTCTTGCATTATGCTGAGAAACCCGAAACTTTTGTACGTAATATTTATGGCACTGAACTAATATCTGGTTTCATGATGTTCACAATTGACATTTTTTATTTTTTTTTTCCTCTAAAACAGGTCAGTGACCTTATCAATTGTGGCGTGTACATATTTACCCCAGAAATATTTACAGCTATTCGAGACGTGTCCACTCAACGGAAAGAAAGAGGTTAGTCAAACAATGACGAGTTCAAAAATCTCTCGCTCCAAGAATTGGAGATTTATTTGTTTTTGAAGCTTGCAGTATTTTTTTTTTTTATTGGTTGTCATTATGGATTGGAAATGTAAATGTGTAAGCTGCAAAGGCATCAGATAATGGCTTCTTTTAAGCCGGACATGACAAAATTAGATTCGTCTAATGCATTCTCTGTTCAACTTATCTTTTCCTCTATTGGTCTTAGCATAAGAATCGTTAGCTGATCAATTATGTTACCTATATGTTGTTCTTTGTCGTGTTGTTTATTCAACTTCATTCTTTCTTCTTTTTACCTTTGCAGCTATACTAAGACGCTTAAACAGCTTTGAAGCCCTTCAGCCGGCAAATAGGTAAAGCTCCCAAGTTCACAACAGCCGAAATTTTTCTTTTATTAAAAGAAAGTTCATTTCATGGAGTTGTACCACTCAGCAAATTACAGATTTTTTTTTTTTTTTTAAAAAAATATTTATCAGGCTTTGGTAGAAGCCTCTTTTCAAGATTGAGTTTGGTACGTAATGATGATCTGTTTATCAATTTAAATACATTTTCACCTTTACTGTTCATCGGTAGGAGCCTAGCAACTGATTTTGTAAGATTGGATCAAGATATTCTATCACCCCTTGCTGGGAAAAAGCAGTTTTACGTGTTCGAGACAAGGGATTTTTGGGAACAAATAAAAACTCCAGGGTAAGTTAATGATGTTGATATATGCTTCTGCTGCGGCTAATAATGCTAATAAGTACTTCGACTGTCTGTCCTATCTCCGAGGATTTTTTTATTTTTTTTTTAAATTTTTATTTTTATCGTGCAGAATGTCCTTGAGATGCTCTGGACTCTATCTAACCCAATATCGATCCACCTCACCGCATCTTTTAGCAAGTGGAAATGATTCCAAAAATGCTTCTATTTTGGGCGATGTATACATTCATCCCTCCTCAAAAGTTCATCCAACTTCAAAGGTAATCTGAATTCTGAAAGTAACGTACTAATCTTTCGTAACCATTTTTTTATTTGAAATTATTGCGGATGAAGGGGATCATGAGGGCTTATCCAGGGCTACACCTGGACTGAACTTCGCTTCGCTCCTTTTTTTTCCCTTGTATTTATGTGCTGTGTAACAGATTGGTCCAAATGTTTCAATCTCGGCCAATGCGCGAATAGGAGCCGGTGCAAGGCTCGTTAGCTGCATTATACTCGATGGCGTGGAGATTAAGGTGGTTAAATCACCTATTTTCTTGACACAAATCTATTTCAAACGCTAATCTGGTGCTGGGATCATTTAACTCGTTTTTTGTCGAATTTTTAGGAAAATGCTGTTGTTATTCACGCAATTGTCGGCTGGAAATCCTCCATCGGGAGGTGGTCCAGAGTCCAGGTAAAGTAAGAAGAGAAATTAATTTGCTGAGTTTAAATTTTGCGTTAATTTGTGTCCGAAAATGGTGCTGAAATGTCTCGTATTCTAGCTCGTGGGTATTCAGATATTCATGTTTGCAGTTTTGTGCCCTTTATTTCTGCTGTAACTTTAGAAAAATCAAATGTGTTGTTCTCATACCAAATTTTATGAAAATTTCAGTCCAGAATATCGCGCGATCAGTTGCACTATCTCGACAAATATACTTATCTTTTATATTCAAACGTCATCCTTTAAAATGCAATATTCAAATTTCATACTTGTTTTTATATGTTTTTCATAAAGCCCAGTTCCTTTTTCTCAGGCTTCAGGAGATTACAATGCGAAACTCGGTGTTACGATTCTTGGTAAATCCAGTATATTCTTCGACACCCCATTTTCTTCGGCTTTTCACTTTAGCTTACGGAACTCCTTTTTTTTGGTCTGAAACAGGTGAATCAGTGATAGTAGAAGATGAAGTTGTGGTAATCAATAGCATTGTGCTTCCAAACAAGACACTAAATGTTAGTGTTCAAGAGGAAATCATACTGTAACACACACACACACACACACACACACACACACACTGAAATTTTTTCTTGTGTTGTATTATATATTTCTTTATTCATGTGAGTTTTACTTTTACCTGTTGTTGTTTATCAATTCTCCAATTTTTAAATTGGCATTGCCTTTGTATTCCAATAGAGTTAAAAATGGTCTATTGTTTTCATCATAATCATATTTATGGCCAGTAAGAACAAATTCTGATAAATACTTCATTTTGTTCTTCCAAACTTTGCAAGTAATATGGATATAATTGATAAATCTTCTAATAAATCAAAAATTGGATTTTGGAAGGTGACAAGGTGTAAGTGAATAGAGTTGTTAAACTAATAAAGTTGTTCGTGGATTCGGTTGGACTCGTTAAGACTCGAATTCAACTCAACCCATTTGTTAAATGGGGTGATTTCGAGCTTGTTTAGTTAACGAGTCGAGTCGGTACTCGTTAGCCCCAAAGAATAGGTTTTTTACATAATTTCTTCACTATTAAATAAAAATCAGCTCGTTTTTTGAATGCATAAAGGCTTGAGCACGATACGAGTATTATGAACTCGAACCCGAGTCCTTTACTGCTCGAGTTGAAATAAATAGAGAAATTTATTGAAACTTGGAGAATGAAGCGAAGTGAAGGAGGAAGTGTCTTTGTGTTCTCCGGATTGGGGTCATGTGGAGCGCTTTGCCACTGATCTCGATTTGAAGCTCGATGAGGACCCTAGCTTTATTGCTTGCTGACAGAAAAGCTTTTTCTCGGGTGAAAGCCTTTCAGTCAAGGACGGAGTAAGTAAACTATGGTTTAATTTAAGTATCAAGAGCTCGAGTTCAGTTCGTTTACCATTAGACATGAAATAAAGCAAGAATTAAAAGAACTCACATAATGGCACGCCATTTGGCGTGCACCGGTCGCCCAAAGAGTTCGTCATTTCTTGTGGCTAGCTGGTCGGGACCGACTCTTCACGAACATGGAGCGCGCAAGGCGACACTTGACTGGTGACGCGGGCTGTTACTTTTGTGGGTGGCAGGAGTCAATAATCCACGTCTTACATGATTGTCCTCAAGCCCGTCGTGTGTGGGATGCGGTGCTCCCGGGAACTCATCATGGGGAGTTTTTCTCCCCGGAGCTGCGACAGTGGTTCGGAGCTAATTTGATGGTGTGTAGTTCGGATGGGATGCAGACGTGGGCAACGACTTTTGCGGTCACCTGTTGGCGACTATGGCACTGGAGGAACAATGCCATTTTTGCGAATAAAGTGGTGCCCCTTGAGGAGCAGTTACAGGACATTCGCCGAAGGGTGGCCATGTATGTGGACTGTACGAAATGCGAGAGTTCTTTGGGGGTGCTGTGTCGTCGATATGAGGATCGTATGATCCG